TACCAGTTCCCATGTAAGATGATATTTTAAAACAAATACTAAAAGCATTCTATACCATTTCTTTCAACCTTTATCACCACAATAATTTTTCCTGCCAAGATTGAGGTTCACATTCAATCTCTTCGGTTTTCACACCATATCTATCCTATTATTTGTGTAAGCAGATAAATGGCTTTGGGATACTACGGGGAAGAAAGATGAATGAGCTGGTCTCACTTTATGAAATTGCAGCTCCTGTCTTTTCATGATCTGCCTTACTCAAAGTCCATTTCCTTTTCCCACCCCAACTCCTATCCTACCTGTTGACTTCAAATCCTATTCATCTGCTTGACTAACCACAGCGGTCAGCCAAGCAGTTTCCCACATTTCAAGCTTACTCGCATTGAGCGATTTATCTGCAAGGTCACCAATTTGGGTTTCCATTGATTCAAATTTACTTCTTTGCCCTTTCAATAATGTATTGTCCATTTCTGAGATCTCAGTATTAATTCTCTAGATTTCTATTGGCAGGTTTTCTATTATTTCAAAATTTGCATTATCTTATTTTATTTTTTTGTCTGTTTGTTTTTAGTGTTTTCCTAAATTCTTCGAAATTTTTTCTCTGTTCTCTTTGCTTTCCTCGATCTTTCTGTCAATCCATTGAAGGCACCTAAATATCATTCTTTTGGACTCTTTCTCAGGTAGTTCCATTATCTTTTCTTCCCCAGAAGCATTTCTGGCTCTGCATCTTGGTCATTTGTTTGAGTCATTCTCTCTTGTTTCGTCTGTTGTCTCAAAGGCATTATGGTGTCACTGTATTTGTATTTAATAAAAGATTTACATTGGTGCATTCGTAGGCTCTCATCAACCGTTTCCTGGTGGGTGAGATTACAGAACAGAAATGTGTACACTGTTTTACATTTGCCATTCATGCGGCTTAGTTTATGGAGTTTGGCTGGTATTGGCTTACGCCTACCGTGGCTCAGGTGGTACAGGAACTTGTACTGGCTCTTGTCCGGTGGGTGTAGCTGCAGAAGGTACAGTTGTGGCTGAACTGTATGG